TTCACTGGTTCCCGTATAATCACTAAAGTTAAGCAACGTCAAGGTTGGTCAGTACCTAGATGGGTGACCGCTTGGGAAGACCAGGGGTTGTAAGCTTGGATCGGCGTGTAGTGTAAAGGATACTATATAATGGATAATAAATTCCTTCTGGAAGTGTCTTCTCACGAAAATTGATTATCCGTGACACCATTGTCTGGGACTCAGGGTTAGACAATGGGGAACTGGAAACCACAATGCAGGACCGAGCAGTGAGGAAAGGTGTTGTCAATAGAGTTCCGACTAACCATAGGGAGGTCAAAGGTTGATGATGATAATGATAAATAGATAATGGCTCGGGATTTTTAATCTGAGAGCCGAATTCCAATTCCCGTTGGGATAGTTATATTAACTTACGCGCAAATACCCTTGGGAAAGGTATGAATTCACCTCTTCTCTCCCCAGCTATGGGTTAATTAGTAAGACTTCAGAGTCTGTCTATATTTCTGAGATGAGGTATTATGTACATTATTTACATTATTCGGACTATTGTCCTCATCTTTGTCGCCATATTTATTATAACGTTTCGGCCGTTGTACGCTCCGGCCTTCTTCAGGTGGTTGGAATGTAGAACTGAACCCTTTATTTCGCTTACTGGGGTAGACTGTTCCAGGACACATGGCACAGTGGATAAAGGCGTTAGTTACATCCAGTGACAGGACACAAAGAGCGTGAGTTCAATACCCGTCTAAGGCAGTGGAGAACTTTCAGAGGGAGATTAACAGGAAATAACTGATAACTGACATCCATCAAACATGGCACATGGAACTAGAACAGTCTACCCCAGTGACCGTTCCCCACCCAAGGCTATAGAACCCAGTCTGTCCCGCTATTTACCCATAGATGGAGGGAGGAGCCGCTATCCATTACTCCATCGGGCATAAAGAGACGAGGTTATAGTTGTTCCAACGGCAGAAAAGCGTATATATTAAAAAAAGAAGAGAAAAACCGCAAAGTTTATATATATATATATATATATATATATATATATATATATATATATATATATACGAATGTAATGAGAACTGAAATAATATGTAAATTCTAACGTTCACAGCCCTAATTGAAAAGCGGTCTCAATACCGAGAGTAGAGCAATAATTATTTATTATTTTTTCATACAGACTAAAACAATTTACTCTCTCAAAAGATTCAACATTGTTTTGGTGCAGTTAGTCGCACCTCGACTGGTGAAAACCAGAATGGTTATTCATTTATCCATTATCTCACCAGTCGAAGTGTAACTAAGTGCACCGAAACAAGGTTGCATATTTGTAGTGAGTAAATTGTTTTTGCGTATATGAAAAAATTATAATAAATATATATATATATATATATATATATATATATATATATATGCGTGTGTGTTTGTGTACGAATTTAATAGGCAGGTTAATGAAGGTTCAGAAATAAAAAGACAAAAGATGATAACAATATTGATGATATTTATTATAAATTATTAGCCCCTTTTTACTAAACAGAGGCACGAAGAATAATATTTTAAAGTAAGGGTTTTATTCACAAACTTTCCCATATCTTGATAAAAGATTTCCAGTATTTAAAAATGGATCAAACAATTAGAAAGATATTTAGTGAGACCCACTCAGCGCTAGATGTCAGCTACCCACCCGACCTACACACGTTCCTAACATTTTCTGGCACACATAAGTCACCAATTCACCAAATTGACATAACCTGCAATAAACGCCGATACCAAGTCTGTAAATATGTCATCACTGATAGCATTTTCACATCCGTGACACCGACATTCGAACGAGCAGCTTTGACTTCGGATAGTTAAAGTCATATATATATATTTCGGTCAGAGAAAGGAATTATTTTGGAAAAACAAACACGGAATTCTGTATTCATTCCAGTAACCTTAAAAAAAAACAACATAAAATTGACAAAAACAATTCTTCTGTCGCTGCAAACTTCAACCAAACGTTCCATAGCATAGATAACATCAGATGCGTTCTTTTAGCGTTTTCCTTTAAGAGCCAACAAGAAAGACGTAAATCGGAGTTAAAATACATTTTCAAACTAGAAGGATTAAACATACATTTATGTTTACTCAGAGAATACAGCTTCCATTTTTCACACTAATACAACTCACGGAGAAAGAAAAAGAACAGCAACAACAGCATTCCCCGGAAGAGTGAGAACCACTTCATTGTCTTTTCTCGTCTCGTTGAAAATGTACACAGGCGTGTCCGAAAATTCCGACTTTAAAATCTTTCTTTGCAAGCTTCAGTTGAGTGAAAAGGTATACTAATATATAAGAAATATCACCAGTCTTATTGACAATATTGTTATCATTTAATTGCCTTTTTATTCCTCAAATTTCATTAACTGACTTATTAAATCCACATCTTTTAAGAAGCATACGTGCACTATCTTTCGTTTGAACTATATATATATATATATATATATATATATATATATATATATATATATATATATATATATATATATATATATATATATACATACATATATATATACATATATACATACATACATACATACATATATATATATATATATATATATATATATATATATATATATATATATATATAAAGAAATATAGGCTTAGGTGTGCTATATTTATGGGATAAAGTGCTCTCAATATCAGAGATAGAGCGTGTGTAAATATAAAAGTGAACATAGAAGTCAACACTTAGAGGCGACAGTCTGTTTCATGCTATATGCAATCGTCAGGCCACATATGCTGTTATTTTTCTCCGCTATTTATATATATACGGGTTAGTGGTGATTGTGGCTATTCTATTATGGCGGTTATTTTTTACCGGAAGTCGCTTTGTTTATTTATTTGGGTCAATTTATATTGCTCGTTTTTATTTTTTTGTTTCTTATTTTATATATTTATTTCTTAACGTAGTAAAAATTTGTTTATATCACGTATTTAACAGTTTTGTTTTGGTTTGAGAATTTAATTCAAGCTATTTGTTCAATTCTGGGGTTGGTTGTTGTAGTTCATTCTAACTATTATTTTTTTGGCGGGAACAGTTTTTAATTTTAATTTAATAAACAAAGCGACTTCCGGTAAAAAATAACCGCCATAATAGAATACCCACAATGCACCACTAACCCGTATATATATAAATAGCCGAGAAAAATAACAGCATATGTGGCCTGACGATTGCATATAGCATGAAACAGACTGTCGCCTCTAAGTGTTGACTTCTATGTTCACTTTTATATTTATATATATATATATATATATATATGAGATAAAAAATTTTAAATACAAAGAACAATATTGGGAAAATTGTATGAATAAATTTTACTTGAGTCGTGTTTCCTCCTCCAAGATTTCATCGGACTAAATTTGTTATGTTGGTAGTACTACGCATGCGCATGGCAGAGGGATGCTGGGAAATTTAGAATTTGAGGGATTGCCTCTGTCTAGGTTGAAAATACAAGTCGAACACAGCGCGAATTCAAAAAAGAGGTGACAGAATTTTTAAGTATCGATACACTTCCCACACCCAGGTTCGAGAGACAGGCTAATGCCACACACGGATGGACTCTAACCCAACGAGTGACATGCGTTCCCTTGAAGACATTCCTCCCATTGCTTCTTCGAATCCAAGCTGCCAAGTCTGGCCCTCTCCTCTAATAAAAACGAATAAGAAAAAAATCATCTTTTCTTTAGTACCATCTATGCTCTAGCGTTGCGATCCAGCGATGACTCGGAATGCAACATCGAGCCCATGTAATTCTTGACCATACTCTCTCCCGTGTTAGGCATTGCTGGGAAATGAGTTCTCTGGAACTGCTTCTGAATATTGAACTGGTGTTGTGTCGACGGTGGATCTTCTGAATCCTTGACGGAAGGTAGACACCGTGACAATCTTCTGGTTACCCCTTCTGTTCCCATCTGTAAATGCTCTCTTTTATTCCGGCTGGTTAAAGGAAGAGGCATGCTCTTGTACGCTCATACTTCGAAGTGACTGGATATTGGTATATATATATATATATATATATATATATATATGTGTGTGTGTGTGTGTGTGTGTGTGTGTGTATTATGCAATGTTACATTAAAATATAACATACCACTACAAAACTGTACATCTTGTTTCAACGTTAAAAATTTTTCTTAATGTTTCTTCAGGTGGGAAATCACGATGCTATTAATATTTTAATCCGAAATACAGTAAACGAAGCCTATCTTCCACTTGCGTCATTGGAAAGCTTCCCATAAAAGGTAACATAGAATTTACATGTGGAGAAAAATGGAAGTTAAGTGATTAATAACAGCGCGCGCGAGAGAGAGAGAGAGAAAGAGAGAGAGAGAAATAAGAGGGAAAAGATCGAAAAAGGGAATTAGAGAGAGAGAGGGAGAGAGGGGGAGAGGGAGAGAGGGGGGAGAGGGAGAGAGGGGGAGAGGGAGAGAGGGGGGGAGACCAACAGATTCGAACGTAAGGAAAAGATTCGTAAATAAGTAATAGATTCGAATGTATACAAGATATTCGTGTCTGGATAAGATATTCAAAAGCGAAAAACATTGAAACGTGAACAACAGACTGAAAAACGAAATATAAATCATTTTGTGAACAATTCTCAGTTTTGAATAAACATTGTTTGTTTGTCGAGAACGTAAAAAAAACACGCTTTCCGCAACATCTCACTCAAGAAGTTCGAGCAACAGTAAGGATAATGAAATGCCAACCATTATATGCACTTGCTTTCAGCTAAATAGAAATGGCAGGATGTGATATCTCAGCATCAGTAGCAAATATTTGAATGCAGAATAGTCTTCCTGAAAATACTGAGTATTATGTCATTTGAGATTAGCATTAAAAACTCAATTATACAAAGAGTTAATCGGAAAGCAAAGATGAAAACATTCTCAGGACTAACAATACGCAACAGAGAATATATGAATTCAATTTTCTATAGTAACTTGGATTTTGTTTTAGTAAAGCAAATAATCTCGACCTTCGCCCAGTTATTTAAGTAGGGAAACGTTGAACCTTCTATTTTATTTATTTCCGGATTAATAGAGGATTGTATGTGACATAATCGAATAAAAACGCCAACAATATGAATGAGCAATGCTCATGCGTGGGTTAAAAATGATGTCGTTCGATCATTGGTGCTTAATATGTTCCATGATACACAACATGGAACTTTGTTTCTGAAAAACTAGAATAACATTGTTCATACATACATACATATATATACGTGTATGTGTGTGTGTGTGTGTGCATCTACAAAATAAAATACCTAAGATTTAAAATGCATTTTAAAAATGCCCTTTCTTTTAGTTTAAATTCCTAGCTAATACATTAAATTTAGTATTTCAAATAAGCAAAATAGTTTGCTGTATTTCAAATTTAACTAAAATTGATTGGAATCATTTATTTCTGATTGTCAGTAAAATCGACAAAATCGTCCATATTGACAAATCTGTTAACACAACACAATTCTGTTAGCTAATAATCTTTTAGAAATAAAATATGTTATTCTGAAAAGTTATTTGGAAATTTGACATTTAATGTTTAGTTAATCTTAATTGAAACGTATTACTTACATTTAGTTTAGAATATGTTGTGTCGTGGCACAATAGTAAAAATAAGAAAATCAAGTCGAAGTTGGTTTAAAGAACAAGTGTATTTAACATCACAGATACAAAGGTAGGAAACGGGTACTACTCAGCAAGCCATTGGTATAACTGTCGCGCTTTCCCCGGGTAGGTATTACTGGCACTATATATAGTGAGAACCTGTGTAATTCTCTTGTGATAGAGGCCGGTGCAACAGAATATCACAGAAAAACGTCTTTTTTTTATACTGACCAGATATTATGGCTGTAGTAACAGGCAGGATTGGAACTCAGAATTTTAATTCTTCTAGATTGGTATCCACCCAAGTTAGAGAATTCGGTGTACACTGCTATTTAAACTTACAGCTTTAATATAAAGAAAGAAAGAAAAAAACACGAGGGAAAAACACTCGCTGCATTCATGTTGTACACCTGAAGAAGGATGATAAATGAAACGGCTGAAAAATTGTAGGAGTTTAACCTTAGGATCAATAATATCTCCCGAAACTTAATATCTCCCGAAAGAAAACTGATTAATGTCAAATTTATAAAATCTAATTTTGGAGTTTATCTCCGAAGAAACCTTACAGAATTCCTCTTTAACATGATTCCGTTGTCTTTTTAGACAGTTCTCCAGATATTTATCTGATTGCACTTATTCAAACTCAATTCTTTTTCTTTTTCTTTTTTAACGATTCACAAACAAACGGCCTACTTTTCCTGGGGGTTAGCATGTTCACACCGACGTCATATGATAGATTGAGTATCGGTGACTTCCTTAATGAGAAACCAGCAAGTCGAATTAATGAGCTAAACACTGGAATCATGGTTGGGCCGATGTACTTGGCCCGTTTACGGTTTACTGCAGCCCATCAATTATACGATGACAACTAAGCTCATATAAAAAAAGAAAAAAAATAAGAATCACAATGAAAAGGAAATATCAGGAAATTAAAAGATCCGCAACAAGTATCCAAATTTCTAGGATTCAAAATATTGTGATCACTGTCGATCGAAATATTTTCACGGGGAAATAGATTGCATTATTTTATATTAAATGTTTTTCGAAGAAGTGATGTTCTTTCATATATAGCAGTATGTTTGCCATTTGGTTTTCTACTAGTGACGAAATGTTATCGACTCAATCTACGTCCCAAAAGCTTACTAAATTTAAAATTTTTATAATACTGGTTACACAAACAGCACACTTTCTCGTTGTCTAACTTGATGTTTATGAAGAATTACTACAATTCTTTAAATGTATGGATAAGCACAACACAAAACCGTGATCTAAATAGTAAATAATATTAAAATACGATAAAGGAAATATTGTTTAAGGAAACACCTAAAATAATTGAAGGTATTATGTCTATAAAATGCAGGATGTGTGTGCATGTGTGTGTAACGAATGCACGGTAGCAATTTTTGACGGATTTGTTCCAAAGTTTACATGCACATACTCCAAGTTAGCGGGAAGGTCAAGACCGACGTTGCATTTCCCAACTCCGATCGACAGTGGAAATAATCGATTTTTTCATGCTTCTACGGCAATTTTCATGTCGTTTGCAGCCATTTTCTACTGGCCAGAGTCAGAGCCTATAGCTGGCTGCCACAAATAGACAGGAAGATTCTATTGGCCAGCGTGACAGCCAACAGCTGACTGACACGAATGTTAACTAGCATGCTAGTATGCAAAAAAAAAAAGCAAAAAAAAACAACTCGATAGCTTCATTCGTCACAAGTGGGAAAATTTTGAATCTGCATGGCAGTTTACTCCAATTGGCTCATTCGCTTGCTTAAACTCAACGTTGATTCAGATTCCGCAGAACTGGGTTGCGTGTGAAAAATTATTTGTTGTTAACATTCTTTTTTCATTCGTTTTTCCAGTTACGAGTCCTTTTTTAAAGCTGATCGTTTTGTGTTCATTTTGTTTAGTTCTTTTTGTCGTAACAGATTTAATGTTTAGTATAGAGCTTAGAAAAAATTCGCAGTATGAGATAGGCAAGAAGTAAGGCATGTAGCAACATTAGCACGGCAAAGGGCACCCCTTTAAAGGCAAGGAAGGGCAAAAATATTTTAAGTGACAGCGATTGCTGTATGAGTCGTACGATTTTTGAATCAAGAACAGGCCATGCTGCTAGTTAAATAATAAAAAGTATTCACAATAGATTAGGCTTTCAATTGTTCGTGCGATATTATATTTTTCTGCCTATTCGTGGCAGCCAGCTATTGTCTCTCACTCTGGCCAGTAGAAAATGGCCGCAAACTACATGAAAATTGCCGTAGAAGCATGAAAAAATTGATTATTTCCACTATCGATGGGGGTTGGGAATTGCAAAGTCGATCTTGGCCTTTCCACTTACTTGGAGCATGTGCATGTAAATTTTGGTGTAAATCCGTCAAAAATTGCGGCCGTGCATTCGTTACACACACACACACACACACACACACACACACACACACACACACATCCTGTCTTTTATAGATAGAGATTCAATTGTTTTTGGCAAAAATCTAGAATGGTAACGCAAATACTTTTGTCAAGTTTCTATATAAATTTTATTCCATCTTTATTTGTTGTACTTCTTTAATTCAAATCGTATCTAATTATTCGTCATTTATTGATTATTCTGCGTCAGAGTCTTCGTGCAACTTTACAAGGACGACTAACCCCAAGAAAAACCTTCCCATCATCAGCCATATTGAATTTTTTTTTATAACGAACTGTACCGTCGATTTAGCGGCACTCAAATACTTGGAAATCATCATGATTCTTTTTCCTGACTTGTTCTTATTAACAATTCCACACATTGATATTGAGTTTCTTTCTATTCGCTATAGTGGAAAAAGTTGAAGACAATTGCTGTGTTAATAATAATATGCTTCAGAGGCAAGGCTTGACGATGCAGCGTTTCATGGTGCCAACATTATCGATCGATAAAGTTATACGTGTGCGTCAAATGGTTCTAAGAAGATGGAAAATAAATTACATTTAAATGTTCACCCTGTTTATAAGATATAATTATTAATATTTTGTGTGTGTGTGCTTCAAATATTGTAGGAAACCAGAAAAAAAGACTAACCACTAATTTTAGGAATTATTGTATGTTAGCAAAAAAAAAAAAAATGTGAATTACAATTAGGAGATGCCAAAATCCAACAAAATTTAAATATCTCGGAAGTGTTTTAACAGAGGGCGGACAATGCAACACCGAAATCCTAAGACGTATTGGGACAGCGAAAGTTGCCATTCAAAAACTAAACAAACTATTAAGAAACTGCCATATACCGTACCTATAAACACTAATGGGTATGTCCTAATCTTCATAAATACATTGGAACCTATTGTAAGTGGGGGTAATATGGTGTCTAAGTAGTCCACCACTAGCAGTGGTTTACCTACTTCACGTCGCTGGCGAGTGTTGTATTTTGTTGATGTTATAAAGTTTACCATTTCATTTACAACCTTTGTTTTGATTATTCCTCGTTCAGTTATCGTTTCTAGGTTACAAAAGAAACATTGATTGACTGATTGATTTGTTTTTACGGTTTATCAACCGCACGCAGGTTATTTAAATCCAGAAAAAATATTTTTAGATTATGAGACATTTTTGAGATAATAATGAATTAATGATTACTGATCCTAAATATTCACTCATACCTTGGGGGTTAGGTTGGAGAGAGAAATGGTGGATTCATTCCTTTTCCAAAGGTATATTCGCGTAAGTGGATACAACGTACCAGACAGGAATTGGAATCCGGATCTTCGATCACCAACTTCAAGCCGTTATCCATTACACCCACCGGCACATCCAAGTTTATAGCACCTGGTATTCGCAAAGGTCACCCATCTAGGTATTGTCCAGGCTCGACGTTGCTTAACTCCGGTGATCGTACGACAACCGGTGTTTCAACATGATGTGGCCATAAAGTTTCTCTCTGAAAAGCAGTCACAACCCAACTACAGCCTAGAAGTCAAAATTAGGTCAACTTAAGCAACCAGTAAGTCATTCCTACTACCCTAGATAGAAGATTTTCCTCATACGAACTCCAAACAAAGAAACTTCTTCTTCTTCTTCTTCTTCTTCTTCTTCTTCTTCTTCTTCTCCTCCTCCTCCTCCTTCTTCTTCTTCTTCTTCTTCTTGAAGATCGTCCGAGACCCAATATTTCAATGTGATATGGCCATAAGCATGAAGAAAGAGGAAAGTTTCGTTACAAACAAAGAAAAGAGTAGTCATGTAATATCATCCCTTCTATATGTCAGTGGGTGCTAAACAATTTTATCACAGATAAAGAAAATAATTTATGCTTAGCATCAGAAAGAGAAACTACTATGGCACATACTGAAGAAAGAGAGCTTGAGAAAGTTGACACTCAAATGAAATATTGAAGCAAAAAGGGACAGATGAAAATGAAGCATAACGTCCTTCACGAGCTTGTGTAAGATTAGATTGGAAGAACAACAAAATGTCAAATTTTAATGAGAGCTAGAAAAGACTGGAAATTGTGGAAAGCCATGATCACAAATGCTCTGAAGGGACAAGGCTCATAGAAGAAGAAGAAGAAGAAGAGGAAGAAGAAGAGGAAGAAGAAGAAGAAGAAGAGCACGTAATTTAATAGAGGAAACATACAGTTATTTATACGAATACTTATGCCAATACTATATGTTTAAACTGATATAAAAGGCTAGTTAGATAATAAAAAAACTGATAGATAGATAGATAATAAACAGACTGATAGATACATAGATACGTAGCTATATATAGATAGATAAAGAAGAGACAGATAGATAGATAGATAGATAGATAGATAATAAACTGGCTGATAGATACATAGATTCAAAGAAGTTGATAAATAGATAATGAGCAAGAAGATAGATAGATAGATAGATAGATAGATAGATAATGAACAGGCTGATAGATAGATAGATACATAGATTCATTGATAATGGAGAGATTAATAGATGGATGCATAGCTTCATACAGATAGATAGATAGATAGATAGATAGATAGATAGATAGATAGATAATAAACAGGCTGATAGTTAGATACATAGATTCATAGATAGATAATGGAGAGATTAATAGAAAGATACATAGGTTCATAGAGATAGATAGATAGATAGATAGATAGATAAATGTGAAGTGACTTAAATAAAGAGTTAATGATATGACTATTAGACAGATAGATAGGCACTGATAGATTTTGTTGGATAGGTAACAAAGGGCTGATGACTCTTCTTGATACCAATCAATCTAGAAATCCAAATGAATGCGTAAGTCTAGACAAAATGGTTGACAGTTTGTCCAACCCGATTAAGTGATTAATCAATTGAGGATAAATAAATTTCTATATAAAAAAAAAACTAAAAAAATTAATAATTAAGGTAAAATGACATTTCGAATAAATAAAAATGCTTCAGATATATAAAAAAAGAAGTTTTGCTTTTAATGGTGATATTCATTAATTTTGACGTGACCAAACACAAAGTCAAACTAAAATGGCGCCCAGTAAGAATCCACAGTCATCTGGATGGTTATTTGATTAACTTTGATGTTTCCGGAGGAGAATAAAATTATTAACGAATGAAAAAGAATTAAGTCTAGCACAAGGCCAATATAGAAACGTATCAAGTAAAGATAGAATTTACTATCGGCAGCTATATCACTGGCCGCCAGATAATAGTTGCAGTTATATATATATATGTATGTAACTCAACATGATTAGTTTGTTAGGAAGGACAGCACCTTTGCGTGTGGCACCTTTGGAAAATGTCTGAAAACGTTCAAGAAAATGGGTAGATGGAACTTTATGGAAGCCGTCAATGGCTGTGGTTGCATGAAGTCACAAGACATCGTGAACGAAGATTTAGCTTACTGCTGGTCATGCAAGATTATGTGCTATCTCTCTTCATTTGTCGTAAGAACCACTGACTAAAAAACCCTTTGACTTATTCAGCTAGAAAGAGAACAGGCTAACATACTTTTGTGTTAGCCCTATTGTCTTCCCAACTGAGCAATGATGAGAGGAAAAAGATACTTCCGGTCTTCAGTAACGGTATTAGCATTCATACTCAGGTTTCCGTCTTCAAATCCTATTAAAAAAATCAAGAGAAAGGTGAATAAGTTTAAAAAAGAGGTAACAGTAGAGAAGAAAACTGGATCAGGGAGGTCACAATAGGATGAGGGATCCTCATTTCAACTTAAAGATAAAGAGATCAATTAGAAACTATCCAACTCAATTCATAAAACGCATGATACGTGAGAGAGGAGTTTCAACTACGAAAGTCCAAAGAGCAGTGAAAAAAGCTTTGAAAACTGAATCGTACGTGAAACGTGTGAAGTATCTTGTTACTCAAGAACAAAAAATTAGAAAGTTAGAGAGGGCGAAGACCATCTCGAATAAGTTGGAAAATTATCCTGGAATAATCTATCTATCTATCTATCTATCTATCTATCTATATATATATATATATATATATATATATATATATGAAGTTTATTTCAATCTTTCATAAGTTTTCGATCCTTAGGTAATATTAATTAATGATGAACATGTCATTTTCGTTTATGATCGATTTTATCAAGATTTCACTGTTAACTTTTGAGGGTATTTATACATTCTTATTGCTCAAAGTAGAGTCCAGTAGTGTTATAAAAATCTCGGAGAATTCCTGTAAGATATCTTTAATCATTTGTAAGATACAGCAGATCAAAGCTTGATCTAAGAAATGGACAATTTTCCTTTTACACGATTTGGACATTTTTTTGTTACCCTGGTATATATATATATATATATATATATATATATATATATATATATATAAAGAAGGAATGGGTTTTTAAACTGTATTTATCCGATAGATTTTTATCACTTTGATCGTTATTTGAATTGGATACTGTTATACCTGAACGTACCTATTCTATTATTAACAGACTCTCCCACACATAATAAGTAGTAGTAGTAGCGGTCGCCAGTTGGGCTCAGTGGTGTTGAGCGAGTCAGTCGATATCGGACATTGAAGTACCAAACATCACAACCAGATTGCTGCGTCATTAACTCTTATTTCAAGTTCCTAACGTTTTGTACGTCGAACCTAATTTAGGACGACTTATTGAAATACAAGCCTCCAATGTGAAAACTACAACAAATACCCATATTTGAATAGACACTGCTTTTTTTTTAAAGAGTATATTTATTAGAACAGAAGAAATGAAAGGAACATTTCATATGTAGAACAGAAGAAATGAAAAGAACATTACATTGCCGGTAGAACAAAAAGAAAATGAAAAACATTTCATTTGCATTAGAACCGTGAAAATGGAAAAGAACATTACCCTTCGTTAGAGTAGAATAGATTTGGACAAAATGCATGGTTGCATGTTAAATGATACAATTGGGTTTTTGTCATTTACGGGTAAATGACAAATCGGTTAGGGAACTATGGCACCTTGCAAGAAATATTTAGAAATATTTTAATTTTTTTACTCGGTTTACTAAACAGGTTTTTGATTTTTTTAAAACGGAAAATAATTTAAAAAATAATAAAACTAAGATTTTTGATGATTAAGGAAAAAGAAGGACTTTATATCAGGAAAGAGAAAAATCAAGATTACAAAAAGCGGTTTAACAAAATACTGAGAATGACTCAACTTTAGATGCTGTTATAGTTTTTAAAGACATTTGGAAGAATAGAATTAGAAATAATAAAAGAAAAAAGGGAAAAATGATACAAAACTATCTGAAAATACCAGATATCGGTCAACATCTAGCCTGCTTTTTGGACGAAAGACATCTTATCAATTTGGATATTTTGAGAAATTGTGAACAATGAAATGAAACTTAATCAGAAAAGTATTATTGATTGTGGGAACAAAACAATAAATAATATACAGTTTATTTTAATAATTGACGAGTGAAAATGTAACATTAAAATTCGACTGCCGGGTCCATTGAACAAGAGAAAAAAACGATTGTTCAGAACAGATGGCGACAAAATCTTTAAGAAACTAAAGGAAAGGCTCATTAGAAACAAGGTGAGAAAAACCAAGAGTACATTTTTTACCGTGAAAAAGGCCAACTGGATTTTTTTTTCAAATTTGAAACAAGTTATGTAAATCAACGGAGGAGAAATATTTCTAATGAAGGTTCCTGAGAATAACATGATCGGAGAATGTCAGTTATGCCCGATCGGAAACCATTGGTCGAAAAACAAACCCGAATCGAGACCAAGTTAGATGGTGTGACCTCCCAGAAAAATATAGGGGTGAAAACATTTCTAATGGATCAAAAAATATGCGACTTTTGGAATTAGAGAAAGAAAGACCCTATTTGTTAAGGCGTCAATGGCAGGACCACAGGATAACTGAAGTTAACAGGAACGGGAAGGCAAACTGAACGCGGGGGAGAAAAAAGCCCCTACAAATTAGCTTTTGTCGAAGAAATGGAGCGCGGACGGCAACGAGAAGAGATTGCTCGGACGAAATTGAATTGGGGCAGCGTCTGATGCCTTTCCAAACTAAAAAAAGAAACGGAAATTTCGTGAAGAAAAAAAAGAGTAAAGAATAATGCTCCTAACTGACAATGAATACCAGAAACTCTCCTCACAGATGAGGAAGAGACATTAGGCAATAGAGATGGGGTGCTACAGAGTCATACTGAGAATATCACGGACGCAGCATGTAAGCAACTAGGAAGTTTAAAGACAATGAAAGCACAAAGATAATCATATCTAAAATTAGAAGAAAAAAAAAACAGTCGAAAATTTCTAGGATATATCATGAGGAAAGAAGGCTTAGAAACTTCACATGACATATTAGTGGCAAGAGAGACAAAGATCTACAGTGAGTAAGCTTCCTAACAAGCTTGTGTCAATGGATGGCAGAAAATGACAGAAGGTTGATTGTAAGAAGATAAACACTGCCAAGAACTTACAACGTGTAGGAAAATTGAACTCAGAACGACCGGGACCAAAGGACCTGAAGAACAATCGTCATGTAGGAGGACACCTTGTTTTGTATAATCAACTCGCGTATTAAACTAGTCCTGTAGACATCAGATTATGATAAACTGCATGTGAAGAAGAAGCAAGGCCTTATCGTTAGATTAAGGAAGCTGTTTGGACCGAGGGTCAGTATTTGATGGCACCGGGAAAGTTTTTTGTTTCCTCGAGGTCTGAACCATCTAAGCTCTCCCGTGGTGGTAACACCTGCCACAAATGGGGTCCCAGATATGCTCTTGGAGAAAATAGCGAACCTCTCGAAACAAATAAAGAACACTGGAAGGTACGGGCCATATATAGGGGCCTTTTTAAATTATAGCTGCGGGATGAAAAAAAAAGAAATGGGGGCCAGAAATGCATTTTTTATATAGGGATAATTTTGTTGAACAAAACTGTTGTAGACTGAGCGACGATAAAAACGTATTGAAAATTTATTTATACTGTACGATAGAGCTGGCCATGATGATGGGATAAATAAAAAATTAAAACAGATACCAAACTAGGCTGGAACCGATTTCGAACCTCCGTGTGTCAAGAGAACTAAATGGATCAGGCAGGTTAATAAACTGAATTATCACTAAAGAATGGACAATATGGACCTTGGAGAGGAAATATATATATATATATATATATATATATATATATATATATATATATATATATACATTATTAAGTGGTGCAGGCTGAGGACATATTATATTAACTTACGTGCTAATACCCTTGGGAAAGGTGTGAACCCTCTTCTTGGCCCCTCCAGAGAAAATATATTTCTGTGTGGGCGAACCTTGGATGGAACTGGTCTGAGGATAGGAGAAGGACAACTCTGAAAAAAAAACAAAATGTTGGACAAGTGGTCGGGTTTGGGACCTTGTGGGTGCTGGTTTTGCACCAGGACACCTGAAAAGAAACTGTATTTTTCGGCCCTTCAAAAGGTGTGGTTGGTCCTGCAGGAAACCGTCACCACTATAATCAAATTTCATGTGCTGTTGTCGGACTGTCGGTGTTCTCTGGCTAACTGATCCTGTTTGACCTCTTTACGTCGAATTCGACGGAAGAGTCGAAACGGAAAGCGAGCAAGCGGACGATATATAAATGGGGCCCCCCTTAATAGGGATTTTGAGGCTCCTGTACATGAAGGCATTCAATTACGCTAAAAATACCTGTGTGTTGAGGCAATCTTGGAGAAATGATCCGGAGCCAAAGGCCCCGATATTTATATTTCGCCATTAAATGACCCATAGAGATATTGATATACCGCTAAGGAAAAACAAACCAACCAACAAAGTTTTAAACTTTTTTTTACTGTTACTGAATCTATCGATAAATGTAATCAAATCAAATTCGGAATGATTTATCAGAAAAGAAATGAGAAAAATAATCTTGAATGGTATGGAATAGTTGGTTTATAATGATTGAACCAACTGTTTTTTAGGGGGGGAAGATATAAATTCTTTAATGAAACGGGTGATTTCGAGGAGGAACGAAGCAATAGTAGCAAACAGTGTTGGATGTTAGGTCGCTCTGAGA